AGAGGGGCAAGGCTAACGCTAAATTCGTACTGAATAGTCTTATTTGTTTAATTATTGACAATACGATATAACGAATAAAATATCTAATTATTCTTAATATAATGTTTTACTATATCGCCCAGAAAATTGTTTTTCGCCCCCCAAAATATAAATTGTTACTAATCGCCTCCTCAACATGGAAAACGCCAGCATGGGGTCGATATCGCCCCCGTTGAGAAACACTGGTCTAAAAGGAAGAAAAATTGAAATATATAGATAACATGGAAAGTACCGTACAATCTGTAGCAATATTTTCAACGCAGGACCTGCATTGAAGAAAACTAAATAGAAATTCAGTTCTCTTCACTGCAGTTTCTGCACATAGGTGTTACATGTGACAAACAAAAATTTTTCACATTTCTTATATTTATACTTTGTATATCGATTTTTTTCCTTCCACATTCTGCACATCTTTCTCTCTTTTTCTGTGTTTTATTGAACTTTTAGATGAGCTGGGTGATGGGCATATCCTTTCGGCGCTTTCTCTTATATCTTTTGGAAGGCAGTACATATGTTTTCTTCTCTCAATCTGTTCGAACATTAGTTCCATTCATAACTGCTTTAAATCTTTCCTGCTTATATCTTTTGCTGTATTCTTATTACTGTGGTGTATGCCGAGATCTCGCGCAGCTCGATTGTGGGGGGCTGGATGTGTCGTTCGTACTGGTATGGTTCATTAGACATTATTTGATCGCACAGAGGGGTCTACAATTGGGGGGGTTTCCGCCTCCCTCAGGGAACACTAGAAATGTACCGAAAAGTCTGTAGTAGCCTATTTGGATTTTCAAAAGATTTAACCTTAGTCTCTTATGTACCGAAAAAAACAAGAATGTCTTGCTTTTGCCCTCTTTTCATCATAATGACACTATTTACGATACTACAGGTGATCGTAAAAAACCTGAAATAGTTAATTTTATCATTTGACAAAAGGAGGAGTAGATACATTAGATCAATTAACTTCAAATTATAACGTTCAAAGAAACCCGACTTTTCTACCCCTTACATCTGTAAATTGAAGAGGAAGTTCTCGTTTGTTTTTCCTTATTGTTTCTACCATTGTAATTCTGTCCCGTAACAAATCAGAGATTAAGCTATAACTATTAAACAATTATTCACTGTCAAATTCCTCCCTGATTTCGCTATAGGTCTTATTAATCGTTTTACAACTTGATCCAGTGAATTCGAAACTGAATACTGGTTGTTTCCCTCTGGTTGTTTTCCGCAGTAGATTTCGAAATTATAAGTGTAATACATTCTTGCGTCCGCTAACACACAAATTTTAATGCCCTATTTCTGAGGTTTCTTCGGCATATATTGTCGAAATCCGCATCACCCCCTAAATCCTTCTAATTTTTCATGTATTGTATAGTATATAGAATTTTGCTGGCAAGATTATACAAATATGTCCACCATATCCCTCACCGCAGCCAACTTGTCAGTTTTAATTCGCTCCTTTCTTAAATTTTTATCGTCGAATCGTAAACTACACAGTAAAAATCTAAATCTTTTTTCACTCATTATGGTTCTAACAATTTCAAGGCCAGTTCCATCCATTGTCCACAATTCATTGGGATTGTAGCGATTTTGTTTTTTGTAACCTGCTAAGTATAAAATTCCGATAAGTACTTTTATTTCAGTTAAATCGGTTAGGAGTGCGTCTCTTTCTCTTCCGTAATTTGGTTGTATTTTTTTAATTTGTTCGTTTGTAAATTTTACTAACATTTCTAAAATATTCTTTCCTATAAATAAATTCCAACAATCCATAATGGATGTTGCTTTAATGGCAACGTCTATGGGACCAGGAAGATGCGTTACTATGTCATGCTGCTTTGTTTTTCCTAGTTGTGATGTTGGAAATTTATTCCAGCGGGTATTAAAATCACGGCCTATATAAAAATTGCTCTCACCTTGTTGAGAAGTTGAAGGTATCAATAATTGTTCATCAAGCTCTTCTTCCTCTTCTGTATCAGTGTCTTCCTCTCTTGTTTTACAAATATCAGGTTCACCTTTAGATGATTCGTCATCATATATAATTCTTTCCATGTCCGTGTCTGAAAGTAAAAAGCGTGCATGCTCCATATTGATGCAGTTGACAATAACGCTGTTTGAACACTTCCACTGTTCTTACAAAAGTACAAATGAGAACGAAATATGTAGGGATTCGCTGAACTTTGTAATCTGTTGCCGAGACTCCACTACCGTAAGTAAAAACCCCTCGCCGTAAAAGCTTTTAATCAGGTGACCCTGATATTTTACGCTTGATCAGGTCGTAAAACCAGCGTAAAAGCGAGTTGAGTAGTGTTCAACTTTGGACGCGAATACGGCCGTAAAACAGTACCATCCACCAATCAGAAATCAGTTAAATCTAGGTCATTGTGACGCGGTGCGAAAATGGCGAAAAACGAGCTTTGTGTACGTTCCCTCGTGGATACTCTAGAACAGATCTGGAAAGATTTATCGAAAACATCCGAAAGTATTCGTGTATCTACGACAAGAAATATCCCGATTATAATAATGGATGCCTAAATCATGGCCAAAGGAAAATCCTTCAATTTAGAGGAGTATTTATACTCCTCTAAATTGAAGAATTTTACGCGATACTAATATTTATAAATATTAGTGTAAGGCTCCGGAAGTGGGTTGAAATTCGTGCACAGAAAAATATTTTAATTTCGTATTAATATTTTTAGTTTCGTAATTCGGCCNCAATTATCGAGTTATAAAAAAAAACTAAGCCTAATTGTCACGTCGGGCAATTTATGTGTGATTGCAGCGATTCCTAATTGTCGCGTCAGGGATTTTATGTTGGATCACTCTGTCGTATTCTTGTGTCCGGACCAAAGGGGTGACGAGAGCCCCATCGCGAAACAAAAATCGTGTGTGAACCTCATGTGAGGCTCCGGAAGTAGGTCGAAATTCACGCAAGATAATGTTTTAATTTTGTATATAAAAAGAAGTGTTTTTTTTTTATTATAATAATATATATTGTAAAAAGAAACCGCCTAATGCAAGGTGAATATATTATGTCCATATATAGTCATATCTGTAGAAATTTCTGAGAAAAAACGAATTTCTCAGAAAGAAACAATAGATGAATTTAAGTACTTAGATCGAACATCTTTGATAGGAATCAAATTGTCAGTCGGGGGAGGAGACTAACCCCGTGATCTGGGCTCCGATCCCGTTACAATTCGTAACGAGGAGGGGAGACCAATTAGAGAACGGGGGCAGATCTGCATCGACCTATCGGAAGGTTCGATCTGGGACTCAGAAAAACTTATAAAAATCGCGCAAAAATGGGAAGTGACGTTCTTGGTTCTAAGTTCAGTGTGCTCTGCTTCTGGATTTTTCCTGCGGTTCGTCGTCCCGAAAGAAGTTTTCGCCATCCTGTCCCAGCAACTTTCACCAAGGGTAATCTTCTGTGAGAATCACCCCTTCAAGTTGTGCTGTGCGCCCCGGAGCCTACGTTTTCCTCATCATCTTCGCCAAAAGAAGAGAAGATCGTAGAAAAAATTGAACTTTATTTACGAACTGATTCACTCTGTGGATAGGCCTTACGCCAGGATTTTTGCCTACTTCTTTTTATATACGAAATTAAAACATTATCTTGCGTGAATTTCGACTTACGCCAAAGAAAACAGTAGTTGTAAGCGAAATTTTTATATTTAATAAATAGTTTGCGATGAAGGACCTGTCTCAGTAAAGTTTTTTCCACTCCCACACGAACAGTGCTGACCGCTCGACTGTCGCGACACTTTTTCCCCAATTGGCAAACCTCGCACTGGTGTCGAGAAGTGGGATTTTAAGTCCCCAATTTCCACCGGGTCAATGACCTCGCACTCAGATGTGTATCTTCGTGAAATTAAATCTGTTCAGTGTCTTGTCAATTTGTGCTGTCTTTTCTATTCTTAATCTCCACGCTAACGTATTTCGGTACGCTACGGTACTACAATATATATTTTTGTCGGGTTCCTTTGTGTTTTGTATCGGGTTTTTGTCATTTATGCAATGTCACGTGTGTGTGTGTGTGTGTGTGTGTGTGTTATGATGTCACCGCTTGGGTGGAGCTTTCCGATATGTAGCGCTACGCGACTATTGGTTGTTATTATGTGTATGTGTATAAATATATTTTTTTTTTGTCGGGTTTCTTTTGTTTTGTATCGGGTTTTTGCCATTTATACGATGTCATGTGTATATGTGTATTATGATGTCACCGCATGGGAGGAGCTTTCCGATTGGTCCAAGGTGGGACACGTGGTAAAGCAAACTTCCGGAGAGCGGGAGATATAAAATGTGTGAACTCCCGTTATACAGCTTATTCTGGTCTCTGTACCCGTTGAGGAGAGTGGTCGTTATACTGGTAAATATAAACCTTTTCTTTGTTTCCGTGCACGTGTTGGTCATTTACTGTGTCCTTTGTGTATATATATATATAGCTTTATTGCCCCGTGGATTCCTATCTACGGCATACTCTACACTATAAAATTCTATTAGCTTTCATAGACCAATTTCTGAATAGATGTACCCATATTTTTACAGTGATATAGATATGGGATTTGTTAGTGCTATTCTTTCAGTAAGAAAAAATTTGTCTCAATTTGTTTTGATGCACCCTCATATTTACATTATTGTAATTTAATAATTTTTAAGTGACTACAAAAAGTGTAAAAGTGAATAACAGTAAAAAAAAAATGAGGTAAATACAGAACAATCCATTTGAGTGCTTAACAATCATCAATCATTTCATTTGTAAATTTATATTAAACAATGAATTACAAAAATGAAAACAAATTTAGATTTAGATGTTTAATTGTTCATTATTTCACTGCCAATTTAACTAATTCAAAATACTGTATTTACATTCTGTATGATTAAAAAATACGCTCAAAACAAATATGTTTAAAAAATTTAATTTTACTTAAAGATTATGAAATAATTTATTATATTAAGATAGAGAAAACTTGCTGTAAAGAAACTTACCGGTTCCTTGATAACATTAAAACTCTAAGATTTATTAGACCATCCAAACCATTTATTTTTTCTAAACAATTATCAGACAAGTCAAGAAATACTAAATAGGAAAGGGTAGAAATATTTTCAATTTGTCTAATTTGATTGTGTTGATAGTTGAGCAGACGTAACTGATCTTCTCCTTCTAAAATAGGACATGATAAGAGACCACACCTAAAAATATTTTTTAAAGTTTTAATATAATAAATTATTTTAAAAAAAGATGGACTAAGCATTATCATACCTATCTAATATCAGTTTTTCTGGATCTGCATTATGTTCTTCTGATTGACGTTTTACTATCAACTGTCCGCTTGGACTTTTCTTTATTGTCACCTTCGTTTTACCTAAAAATGTAAACATAAAAATATAAATTACGGTATCTTATGTACATATATAATGTACTATATATCATACATTAAAAGTAATTCTTTAGAAAAACTCTCTCACTTAGTCCTATTTAAAAAACTAAAAGCAACTAAAAATAATGATAATTATATTCTTTATCATTCAATTATTTTAGCATAGAATTGAAATAATAGTACATCATTCCTTGTTTCTGGTGATTTTTACTTTTTGATAAAACTTTTTCCTGTTAACTCACTTATTGTATTGATTTAATTATTTTGTAAAATGTAATAAACAGAAATCATACAATCAATAAAATTTATTTCTTTTTCATTCACATTGACAGTGAAGTTGATACAGAAGATGCTTAATTGTAGAGAGGAAGTTAGAATCTAAAGGGCATTAAATAATTACGAAATAGAACAGAAGAGACTGAGAAGTTTTGAAACAGCTTTGCTTAGTTACTTAGTCGAAAATATTAAGTAATATATACAGCACTGTAACAAAAACTGTGGACCCATCTATAAAAGTTTTGAAAGGCCACTTTTTACCTGCTGAAGTTAATGGTATAATCTTTGCATAATGGAGTATCTGGGTGTGAATAATTTTACAAGTGAACCACGAGGGCGAGTACAAAGAATCTCACAGTTGACAGTTATGAAAGAGACAGCCTTACCTAAACGTATAGCCTGGGGAAGAAGGGGGAAGGGGAGGGGAGAGGAATGGGGGAAGAGAAGGAAAAGGAAAAGGGATCACATGAGGACGGCTGGGAACTGAATAATAGAGGTAACAGACACAATTACTAGACTGACACAGCAGTCCAAATATTACGTAAAAAATACAATAATCAAAAGCACATAGCACAATTAAACAGAAAATACACTTTAGGGCAGGTAGAACATAAATATGCCCGCTACAATTAGCCAAAATAAAACTGTACAGAATAAAAGCAGATCCCGACATTGGCTTGCAGATAATAGTAACAAAAACTAAGTCTGCCTTAAAGTCCTGAGTGAAGAATTGCAGTGCTAAGAGACAATGTGATAGAGAGGTTGCCCTTCACACACTCAGTTAACTGAGCACCTTAATTTGGCTAATAAAGTCGTTGAATTTTGTGAAAATGTCTTTGTTGCTGAGAAGAAGACTTGCCAGACATGGCCACACTTCGTTCTCCTGAATCACAGCTTGTATCAGTTGTCTTCGTTTGTTCTCATACAGAGGGCAGCGGAACACCATGTGGTCACTGTCGTCCCATTCATTAAGCGAGCAATGGCATTGCTCATTCCCTTTGCCGAGGAAGCAGGCCAGATAACCTTTAAAGTTTCCGTGGCCCGTCATGATTTGCGTGAGTTCATAGGAGGGGGTGAAGTGGGAAAACTTTGCCCTGTTTGCAAAGCAAGGGAAGGAAGCAGTAGGTAGTCCTCCCAGTGCTGCTGCTATCCCAGTTTCTTTGCCATTATTGGTGAATATAGTTGAGCAGCTGATTCGCCATCCAACTGTAAGGCACTTTTGAGTATGCTCTGGTTTCAAGGTTACTTGTAACTTTTTTGGCAAGAAAGTCTGCATGATCGTTTCCCCTGTTGCCTGAGTGCCCTTTAGTTCAGGCGAGGGTGATAACAGTGGATCCATTGAGATGGTTGAGGACGTTGATAGTGTCTCTTATAATGGGGAGGTTGACATTAAGATTTTGTATCTGGTGCAGGGCTACCTTGCTATCAGTGAAAATGTATACAGCCTTGTTCTTAAAGGTTCTTTGTTCCTTCTTAATGTAGTGTAGGGCCCTTAAAATAGCCAAGGACTCTGCCTGGTTATTAGTGCAATGTTCATCCATTTTAAAGTAATGCTGGTGAAGGATTTCCTCCGCCCTTCCATACACTACAAACAAACCCCCAGTCCCACTAACTGACCGGGACCCATCCATGTAGATATGGAGCCCAGAAGGGGAGGGGTAGTACCATTCATCAAGATATCACAGCTGAGACCCAACGCCGGGTGAATCAGGCTGCTGCTATCAATTTTGTCTAGCCCTTTCTCAAGGAGGTAATTGGCCAGATCACCAATGGTGTCCCCCTCCACCAGATGATTTATCTTGGTATGAAACTGATCAATAGTGATATCGTTATAAAGGAGGCGCTTCATGTTATGCCTCAAGTACCTTTCCTGGATATAAAGGTCAATGGGGAGTAGGTTTGAGATGACAAGAAGACCGTCTGTAGGGGCCGTTTTGTATGCCCTGGCAATGTACAAAGCAGAGAGCCTTTGCAAGGAGAGGAGCTTCCTCCGGGTATGAACCCTGTTCGTGCAGTGCCCCCAGACTTCACAGCCGTAGGTGGCTATCTTCTGAGTGACGGCGATATATGATGTTTTCCTTGCTTTGTAGTTAAGCCTCCATTTGTTCCTGCAGATGGTAGCCAGGGTGCTGGAGACTGCTGTGGCTTTTCTGTAGATGTAATGGATATGCTCATTCCAAAGTAATTTATGATCTATGATAAGCCCCAGTACTTAAGGGACAAGGTGTTCCCGATTCTATGCCCATTGATCCGGATCGAGGGGCCTTTGCTAAGAGGGTTCGCCTTGGGGAAGACCATACTTTTACATTTACTGTAATTTATGAGTAGGTTAACACGCTCACTCCACTGATGCACTTTTGATAAAATTTGGTTCATATTGTCCTGGAGCTTCCCTTGATTCGGGTGTGACATGACAATAACCGTATCATCTGTGGACACCCCCTGTTGATAGACCCATAGATTAGAGTGCCATTATTGTAGATGGCTGCACTCTGATCCTCCAGATAGCTGCGAAGGATCCTGTATAGGTTGCCTGGACAGTTGTAGTTGCTGAGCTGGTATAGTACCTCTGGCCACTAGGCATGGTCAAAGGCACTCTTAAAATCTATAGCCACCAAGAGAGTGTGGTTCTCGTTTTTCTTTGCAACCTTGATGTAGTCAATTAGGTTGTCCAGAGCGTTGATGGTGCTCTTCCCCTTACAGAAACCAAATTGAAGGGGTTGGAAGAAATTTACCTGCTCGAGATGGTACTTGATTCTTCCAATCATTAGGGAGTCCAGGGCCTTACCAAAGAAGGAGAAAAGCGAGATGGGACGGTAGTCAGAGGGTGTTCTTGGGGCCTGCCTAGGGTCCTTGGGTATTAGCTTCACAGAGGCCTTTTTCCATATAGTGGGGAAATACCCAATGTCCAGACATTTGTTAAATAAAACCTGCATTGTGGTGGGGAGGATCTCAAATGCCTCTTTGGCCATTCTCCATGTGATGTTATCTGGCCCAGGTGCCTTGTTCTTTTTGATGGTTCTAAATTCACGGTAAATTTCTAATGCACTGAACGGCCTGTCATTGTGATCTGTCCGGTAAGTGTTGACTATATTTCTAATCGATTTTTGTATTCTGGAATCTTGTCTTGGGTCGTCCGTTGGGAAGAGTTCTTGCATGATGAACTCGCAAGATTCCTCGATGGACTCAGTGTATGAGCCATCCATTTTAACCATTGTTGGGGGGGAAGTGGAACTTGCTTTATCCTTTCCCCTCACAGTATAATAAGGGACAGACCAAGGGTTTCCCCACACCTCCTGGTACAGAACTCCTTCCAGGAGTTTGTTCTGCTGTTTTTGATCATTTGCTTATATTGCCTACATTTTTCCTGGTACTCCCAACGTTTTTGTTCCTTTCTTTCCGGAACCTTCTCTTTATCCTTTTACCTCCCTTCTTGTCCTATCTAGTTCCCCATTCCACCAGGGAGAGTTCAGTTTTGTTACCTTGATTGTTGTCACTTCAAAATAAGCCATATGTATTGATTCAGTTAGCCTCTGTACAGTCCTGTCTATCTCATCCTTACTGTTGATATTAATCATGGAAATCGGTCTCCATTTATTGGCTAGGCAAGACTCAAAGAGCTCCCAGTTCATCTGGTTAATTATGGTCCTTTGAACCATTACCTCTTTACTTTCAATGGTAGTTAGGATATAATTATGGTCGCTGGCCAACACCAGGTCCATAGTATTACATTTGACTTTGCAGGAGAGGAGGGGTTGATTCCCCAGACAGACATCCACCCAACTCTTCCCTGTGGCTGTGGAGAAAATGGGTAATGGGCTGCTGTTGAGGGAGACCAGATCAAACTCTGCAATGAACTCGCATAGTCTGTACCCTCTTGGGTCTTGCATTGGGCTGTGCCAAAGATGAGATTTGGCATTAAAATCCCCAGTGATAACCAGTGGAAAATCCTTGAGGCTTTCTACAGCTTGACTCAAAAGGTTCAGGGGATGGATAAGGTCTTCGTTTGGCGCACAATAGAAGGAGATGATGTAAGTTGATTCCCTTTGAGTTTGCATCCTGATGGTAGTAAAATATTCGTTGGAATGTTGGTCAATAAGTTGGACCACGATATGCTTGTTATAAATAATAATACCTGCCTTGGGCCTTCTGTCAGGGACCAAAGTGGAGTAGAGCCTGTCAGAACCGAGCATATCCACCCTATTGCCACAGACATATGGCTCCTGGAAGGATAAGATGTCCACGTCCCAGTCACTTACCACATGGAGGGCTTCAGAGGATGCTGCCTTTGATCTCTGGAGATTAATTTGAAGAATTTTGATATTATCTTTAGTGCAGCTGCCTGCCGAGTGCTAGTATTATGGTTGTTATCCATAATGGGTGGCGACACAGGAAAGAAGGAGAGTGTTAGTAACTAGTATTTGATATCACTTGTGCTTTGTACCACTTGAGACACGGGCAGTTGGCCGCAAAAGAGTTGTGAACCATGTCCAATTGCCTGTTCTGCGGGTTGCACTTGTTGTATTTCGCACAGTTTGTGCACTTAGGGACCCTATCTTGGTTTGGGCACTCCCCCAGGCGGTGTTTATGCCCACAGTGACTACACTTTTGTCTCAGGTCATACTTGGTCGAGATATGACCAAAGCCACAATAGTTAAAACATCTAATAACTGGGATGTGGTTGTCCACCCGAATGGAGTTTCAGCCAA